CCAAGAAGCTCTTTAAATATATCCACCGTCATCTTATCCCTCATAACCTTCCTGTTACCTTTAGCAATGTCTTTTTTATTAAATGGCATCCCGAGAGAATGACATTCAATGTACTTTAGGGCAAACACACCGCAATCACCAGCTTGGGCCTAAGGTATATTGGTCGGTCTGTCATATGTGAATGGCCCCAGAGTGTATTGGGCACGTTGTTCGAGAGAGGAAGCGCACTCACTAAGAAGATAAGGGACCATGTTGAGAAAAGGCTCCATTATCACATCGAGTTCTTCTTGGGAGATAGAGGAACAAATACTGTCCCAGACGACTATGTGTCTCTTAGGGATCGATATCCACATAGCAATCCAATGAATGTCATTGTAGTTCACTGGCGCATAGATATCATCAATATCCCCCCCCCCCCAAAAAAAAAAACTTGTTCGATCGGCAAAATGATGGTATAGCGCCTGAATAATGATTCCACGCTCCACCAGGGAGTCTTCTTCCTAAACCATTGTGATCGGGCTCCGAGTCCTTAAAATCCTTGTAGTTGAATCTCCATTGCTGAGAAAAACTATGATCAAGGAAGAACATTCTCTCGCTCATGAAAGGTTGTGGTTTAGCATCGTACCTCTTTCTCAAGACATTAATCCAAGCACCATCATCCAGCATTTAAAATAATACAGGTCAGTAGATATCAGACGACTTACTCATAAGTCGTTTAGAAAGTCTTCTACGTAGATGACTCACCAGACGACTTACTGATAAGTCATGTACAAATTCTTCTACGTAGAAGACTTACCAGATGACTTACTGGTAAGCCGTCTACAAAGAAGGCTTACTAGACGACTTACTGGTAGAAGAAATAAGTCATAGCAAAAGACTTACACAGTTATCCAGCCAAGATAAGGAAGTCCGGAGGGTGTGATACCACCGAGTTGAACTTGTACGTGGTTTTTTGTCGAGAGGTGTTCTATAATGACTGCGAACACAAAATGTTGAAAAGCAATCAGTTTTTTTAGACTAAAGCAAGTTATTATGGGAAAACCAATCACTTACAGATCAGTTTCAACCATTTAGCAAGCTCCTTCAACTTCTCCTTGTGAATTGGTGCAAAATGATTATATCCGGGAAAAATCTTTTTGTTTGGAATGATCACTTTGGCCGTGATGTTTTCCGTATAAGGAGATTGCTGTGAGTTAGCAAGTTTTCTTGTTAGATCACTCTTTGCACGTATAACTGCCAAATCAGCATCCTTCTTTTCCTGTTATCTAGCGTCTTCCTGCTATAAATCCGAAAGAGTGGGTGCTTGTTTCTCCACAGCTTCCACCCTTTCCAACATATGCTTGATCTCCTTAAGGCACGTCCCAAACCCTTCCATCATGGCATCAAGTACGTCCTTGAAATAATCCTTGAACATTCTTTCAATATCCTCTTTGATCATCCCACCAACAGTCGTAGTCACTTCTGGACGAGCCTCAGTAGGAACTTCTTCACTAGCCTCTTCAAATGCCTCTACACTAGCCTCTTTACGAGCTTTCTTTCGAGGTCTTGAACTATCTTCCTTCACCACAACTATTTCTTTCTTTGCTGGACTCACAACCTCTAGTTTTGTATTGACCCAAGTACCGGTGACTTCCCAGCAATCCATGATCCACTTCCACGATCTCTGATTAAACATGACTTTAATTAGGTTCTCCGTGGCCGGGTCCTCAACATCAGAGTCTTATTGTGGAAAAATTTCACCAATGTCCTTCTGAACAAATTTGATCACCGTAGTCTGTAGTAAATAGAAAATATGAACTTAGATATTTGACGGATTAAGAAAGATGGAAAGAAAAGACTTCGTAGACGACTTATAATTAAGTCGTCTAGGAATGTCTTCCAACTGGAAGACTTAGTAGAAGACTGATAATTAAGTCGTCTGGAACGTCTTCCAACTGGAAGACTTAGTAAAAGACTTATAATTAAGTAGTCTGGATAGTTTTCCCAGATGACTTAATTATAAGTCTTCTACTAAGTGATCCAGCTGGAAAACTTTCTAGACGACTTAATTATAAGTCTTCTACTAAGTCGCTTAGTTAGAAGACTTTCCAGACGACTTAATTATAAGCTTTCTTCGAAGTCTTTTGGATTGAAGTAAATACTTGTCTACAGATAGCATCTTTAAAGCATATGCGTCTTTTGCCAGCCTTGTAAGCCAGTATCTGTATTTGGTATGGGAATACCATAATTAGCACCCAATTCCGGCAGAGATGTGTACACCCAAACCTGGAGAGCTTGTATAAATCCATCACAAGTGTAACAACCCGAAATATCTTTGCTCTTCATAGAGTCCATTAGCACCTTAAACGCGACTCTCCCCCATGGATAATTCTCAAACCGCTCTAATTCCATCACTATCCTTGCCAGACTAACCCGTGTAGGGGTTGAATACTTTCTCCCTTCAATGTATCTAGTGAAGATGGCAAGGTACCCGAGCCGCTTGCGATCATCCCGAGACCACCCTTCGCATAACTCAAATGATGCTATTATCTGCTGAGTAATTTTCCCAGCTTCGACATGAACTCCTAACATCTCCCAGAAGGAAGCCAAGTCCTTTGTAACAACACAGTTCGGTCTCTCAAGGTTCTCGATGTACTCGCAGTTTAGACCAGTGAGATTTTCAAACTCTAATATTGAAAACCTCACAGGTTATGGACCAACGAGGCACCACAGCTCATACTTCTTCTTTATGTCGAGCTGGAAACCGAACATGTAGTGAACAAGCCTTGAAGCCCAACCAAATCCTAGCTCTTTGAACTTGATGAAAACTCCGACCTTCGAATCCTTCATCTCTTCATATTCGTCATCATGAAGAGCACTCCTGAAAGCAGTATGCAACTTTGAACAATCCGTATGATACGAAATGTTATTCATTGCGGGGGGCTCTTCCCTTAAAGTGCGTCCCCTACGGGGAAGTTCTGGAATATCCATTTTTTTTTGTCTGCAAAACAATTAAAAACAGCCATCTCAAACACACAACCATTCAGTATAACATTTTAATTATAAGTCTGGTAGACTTTCCAGACGACTTATAATTAAGTCGTCTGGCAAGTCTTCCAAGACTTCCTGTAGAACATTTTAAAGCCAACCTGAAAATTCGGAGAAGATATAGTCGCCTTCGACATATCGGTTATAGATCTGCAAAAAATAGACGTGAAAAAGAAGCGCGGTGAGAACGAGTATAGATATACCTTACGACATAAATTGATAGAGACAATGTTTTATGTTCATATTTTCCTTAATCAATCACTCGACAGTAAGAGATATAATATACCGGCGGTGGAGTTCAACGAAACACCTCTGAGAGAAACGACGCTAGGGTTTATAGAAACGACGGTAGGGTTTACAGAGAAACAGCGCTAGGGTTTCTTCTCAGATCTGAAATAGAGGAAACAGCAGTGAGAACAGTGGTGAGAACGACGGTGATAACGGCGGAGACATAACCGGCAGTGAGAAGGATGGATTAGAGAGAATCGACGGAAAGCGCCTTCAAAATCGCCTTTGAGAGAAACAGCGTTAGGGTTTTCTGAATTTCGAGAGGAAGAGAATAAAAACATCTTATGTATGTTCGGTAAATAATCCGGTTAGATTTAAAAGTACATTGGTAAAACCGGTTTGGATGAGTTACTAGTAAGTCGTTTGTTGAATACTATACATCAGACGACTTATTAGTAAGTCGTCTACTGTAAATATATTCACCAGACGACTTAATAGTAAGTCATCCAGACCATAAACCCTAAACTCTAAACTAAATTGACTAAATTAACTAACTAACCACATTATAAAATCAAATTATACTTAAATAGTGTTTACTATACGCAGAAATAAAAATATTTAGGTAAATTTTACATTTTTCAAAAAATCATTTATGATTTCCAAAATCTAACCCTAAGAACACATACAATACTACAACATATGTTGGCAAAACCTAAACCAAAGAATATCATGACTCACTACTTTCACTCATCTATGTTGAAAACAATTAAATTTTGTTATATATTAATGTATATCTCTTAAAACATATGTTAGCTACATGATTTCAATTTTTCACTTATCAAAATATTTTTTACAAAAATTTTAAATTATTTTTAAGAAGAATCATACTAGACGACTTATTTGAAAGTCGTCTGGAAAGAATACTTGTGGGGATTAAAAACATAAAAAAAAAATTCAGTTTTTTTATTTGTTCACCAATGGCTGGTTGTAATTTCAATAGTTTTTAGGTTACTTTTACATTTGAGTCAAGTTTGAGTTTACTTTTACGTTTGAAATCAATTTGGAGTTATATTTGATAATTTTCCCTATAATAGAATATAAAACTAGTTGATTTCTTAACTTCATACTATATTATTTTCATATAGTTAGAAATATGCTTTTATAACTAAAATTAAAAGCGCTATATGAACAACATATAGATAATAAATTTTCATAAAACATAGTTTCACATTAAAAATGCAAAGTCGTATTGATAGACGAGGGTACGTAATTTCCAGGTAAAGGGAGCGATATTGCCACTACTCAGGGTTCTTAAGTTGCTCAACCACTGTTATGAAATTACCTCCCCACGAAAGTCGTGTTGACAGAGTCGTATTGACATATCTGCTTAAGCTAAGGAATTGCAAGTGGCATGATCGAACTTGCGAGAGGAGAATAGAAATCTGAGCTCATAAGAGATGAGTTAAGTTTTGGAAAACTAGAGAAAACTTAGTGAGACATTGTAGAGAGATAAACAAGAGAGAGGTTTTTATAGAAATTATTGATGATTATTATACAAAGGGGTACACACATATTTATAGGGGAGAAGATAAGGTGCTGACATAAGCGCTTACCTCAGCCACTTCGATTACATCATCGCTTACATCATGCTTACATCATTATTAGACATATTTATTTTACATAATAAAACACACATAATTTAGACACATTATTCAAATATAATTAAACATAACTTAAAGACCTTCTTAGTGGTCTATCTCGAACTCGATCATGTGTTTTTCGCAGCATCCGTAGTGATCATATGGGCATATGTATTCATCTTCTAGTTCTTCATGAGTGTTTTGGGAATTGTCGTTAACATCAATATCAAACATTTCACCGATTTCATCTATATTCATAGAGTCATCAGGTAGTTGCACATCTTGAAAATATTCCGGCGGACATTCTTGAGTTTGTGGTTCTTGAGGTTCTTGCTTCAATGGCTTTAATTTGGTTTGTAAGATGCAAGTCGTCGTCTTTCACCGAAGAACATGAGATCTTCGTCGAGACTCATCTGGTAGTCAATTGGATAGTAGAGCCAATTCGAGATGAACGGAATGGCAAAGTTTTGCCTAGCGTTATTGAGTCGAAACGCGTGATTTTGGAACTCCTCGTAAAGTTTGATGTCGTTGATGTTGAAATCTGGTCGTAAACCTCGTTGAAAGTCTTTGTGATAGATGAATGTTGGTAGAGCATGAATCTTGCCAGTTTTGCCGTTGATTTGAACCAGACGGTGGAAGAAGTAGATTGTGTGAGGGTTAAAGAAAGGGTTAGGTCGCCTTAACCTTTTAACTTCTTGAATCACATACCAGTTTCCTTTGCAGATTTTCTCAGCTTTCCATTCCAGGCAGATAATGGAGCAAATCATGACAGAAATGTTGCCAGACATTCTTTGCGTTCACGCTGGGGGTTGGAAAACTGAGCATTGATGTATTGGTATACCCACGAGATGTCGAGTGTTATACGTATGGTGAAAACCGAGCAGAGGTACCAGAGGAAACATAGGACTTCTTCTGGCATGTATACGGTTTCGATCCTGTAGAGGTGTGCGAACGGGTAGTCAGGATGAATTCCCATTGGTGAAATGTAGTGATTTTTAGGTCCGTATTTTTTCAGGATGATGGATTGGTAGTGAAAAATCTTGTTGAGGAGGTGTTCATGGAAGGCTTTTCTAGTGATGTGTTCATGAGCGTCTTCTGGCATGTTGGCTGCGAAGTCACAGAAGCTTTTTGTAGAGGAGCTCTCCATCATTTGTATTTCTTTAATTGGGTTTCTACTGAGCATATCAGCAAGAGTGTTCTTTAATCTCTTTAAATAGACGGATTCGAAATCGTACTTCGAGAACCATTCGCTCCATCTTAATAATTGTTGATGTGGGACCATCTTTTGCTTGAATTGTAACATCTTCGGGAAAGATGACATGTCCATCCCGATGCGAAATTTATGTCCTATCAGATGGAACTCGAACTTCTCAATGGCTTTCTTGACTGCTAAGATTTTTTTGAACGTGTAGTGATAATGCATCTCAGAATCTTTAATGCGTCCACTTTTGTATCCGCAGATTTGACGTTTTCCGTTTATCTCTTCAAATAAAATTGCTCCCCAATATTTTTCCCTCGCGTCAGTCTGTAGGATACGCGTGCCGGTTGAGGGAATCTTTAAAGGCAGTAGCTTCGGCACCTCTATTTTTAGGTTTCTGACAGCCTCAGTTTGCCGATTAGTCCATTGTGGTGGATTCTTCGTCAGCATCTTCTGCAGCGGTATTGTCATCTGCGAAAGTTGCGGAATGAAGTCGCTAACATAATTGATTACGCCAAGAAATTGGTGGACTTGTCAGTTTGTGAGATTTTCGTCGGGAAAATCGAGGAGTGTTATAGCTAGATGGGCTTGAGGTGAGAAGATTCCATTTTTGATTTGCATTCCAAGAAAATCGATGTTGGGCTGGGCTATGACCATCTTTCGGGCCGAGAGCGTAATCCCATTTTGTAGTACTATGCTCTAGAACTGTTGAAGAAGTTGGACGTGTTCCTTTTCGGTTGACGAGAATAGAAGTATATCATCTATATATATCAAGGCCGTGTGGAGTATGGGCTTGAATATACAAAGCATCGCCTGCTGGAACAGTGAAGGTGCTGTCTTGAGCCTAAAAGGTAAGACATTCCATTGAAGATGTCGATCTGGTAGACAGAATGCAGTCTTGTATCTTTCTTCAGGGTGAACTCCAAGTTGCCAAAATCCAGATTTAAGGTCAAATTTCGAGAATATTGTTGCTCCTTAAAGGTGTTGAATAAGCGCCTTTTTATTTGGCAGTGGAAACTTGACGTCTTGTAGGTATTGATTTAGCGGCTTGTAGTCGATGACTAATCTGAGTTTTTCTCTTGCTTGTTCGGCACGGTTGTTGACATAGAATGCTTTACATGCCCATGGAGAATTAGTTGATGAAACGACTCCATGTTCTACTAGCTGATGACACTCTTCATAAGCTTGTTTTAGCAAAATGGGTGGCATTCTTACATGACTCGCTTTTTTTGGTGTTGTTTCAACGTTTTCTTTGATCGGTAATGTGACAAAGAACTCTGAATTCAACCAAAGCGGGTTATTACATTTTTGTAGGAAATCTGTGTGAGAGTCAGCACACGATTTCGTTGTCATTTCTTCTTTGATCTTCGTGAATTCTTCTAACGCCGATTCTTCGATTGAAAATAGTCGTGGAATTGATGTGAAAGCTTTAAAGAGTGAATTCCATTTTATTCCATTTTGTTCGATGGAGATATTATAAGCTTTCTTGAAAGCGTAATAAGCATCCCATCCCAATATGAGATCTTTCTTTGGCGTTGTAGATCCTAGTACCTCTATAGAGATTTGACATCCGGGAAAGAGCTCGATAATGATTGGTTTTGACTTGAGCTTGATGGTTAACGAGCCAGCATTTGCAACACGAAACTCTTGCTGGTGGGGTAGCCACATTGAAGGCGAGAGAATCTTGGGATTCACGATTATTTTATATGATCCGGTATCTACAAATGCAATGACGCGAATGGGATCTTCTTCCTTGGAATGGTCAAAGATTGTTGCTTGTATATGAGGAGGTTGTACTTCTTCTTCTTGTGGTATATCTGCGATTTTGAAACAGCAGTCTTCATCGTCATCTGGTGAAGACTCAAAAGAATAATCTTCTTCTGAATACCCACAAATTGCATCGTTGTCATGACTATGTCATGACTATTGAGGTCAATGTCTAGTGCGATCTCGGCTATAGAATTGATTAGTTATTGCTTCTTCTTTTTTTGATTTGTTTGGACAATTTTTTGCAAAATGTCCTTCTCTTCGACATAGGAAACATTTCGACTCATTTTTGAAACTACGTTTCTTCCGGAAGAATTTCTTGCGCCTGAACATGGAAGAGTGCTTAGAGAATCGATTTTTGAATTTCCGGCGTTTCTCATGCAAATTGCAAGAACATGTCTTCTTGGATTTTGAACATTTGATTGAGAGATCAGGTCTGGCACAGATTTTAGATAGTTGTTTTTATATATCCATGAATTCCATCCAGAATTCCTTTTGCTTTCAGAGTTTATAGAGTCTCCTGACAACGTATTGCTGGATCTGACCGATAGAAACTTCTTCGATCGTTTGTCCTTGATCTCGAATGTATAACTTAGTCTGTTGACTAAGATAGTCATCAATGGAGGAGAGGTAGATATGCTTCAAACTAGGATTGTTGAGGCCGTTAAGAGCATAATATCTTTTTGTCTGCCTTTCAAAATTTTTTGCGAGATCTTTCTTTCTTAGCGAACAACATTTTTCCGAGAATAACTCTTCTTGTAGTTGCTCCTTTTGGTGCGTATGCGTACCAATAAATTCTCTGTGAATTTCTCCGAGAAGCAATGGTATAGTTGTCTGATAGACCTGTTGGTGTCTGTATTCACCGAGTGAATTCCACCATTCTTTGAGTGCTCCAGATAGACGGGAAGTGAGATGTTGTATGACCAAGTGTAGAGGAGATGTAAGGGCTTCTGAGTTCATCCATGCTTGAAATTCGTCTAGACGATCATTCCATTTTTCAAAAGGAATATCATCGAAGGTGAATACCATGAATTTTGAAGCGAAGTGATTTGTTGTTGGTATCTCTGTCCTAGGCGGCAGCACGAATTCCATATCTTCATCACTTGAATATACTTCGTTGATACTTGGTTCTTTTTCGGAGTGTACGAACTCTCTCCAATCGCGAATTGACTTGGAAGATATTCTTCGTAGGAGTCGATCTCATAGTCACTCGAGCTTGTATCTGAGAGATGCTCAATTTTTGCAATAGATTTTGCAGACGAGGACTGCGTATTCTTTTGGATTTTTGACGATTGATCAGATATCTCCGGGTCTTTTCCAAGAGTGTTGAGTAGACTGGTCATTGCAAACTCGATTTTTCCAATGTCTTTTCCTTTTTCCGTCTTTGTCTTATCATCAACAGATTCGTGGCTGGAGGATGAAGTGAGAACAGGTCTTTTATTCGGATTTTCTTGGAAATTTGACTCATTTTGTCTTCGGGGCTTTGAGCGCGTTTGTTTTTTCTGTGGATAGATGATAGACGTTGATCCATAGCGAGATGTGAAGATTTCATCGGATGAGAGGAAGCCAGGTAGTGGAGTTTTCGACTTTTTAGTTTGATCGCCAGAGAGGAATCCAGGGGAATATGATCTGTGGTAAGTAGGCATTCCTGGTGATATGTAACCAAGGGGATCAAAGTAAGTATCTGAACGTCGTTGATTCTGAATCATGCTTTCTAGGCTTTTTTGGAGATCTTTTAGTTGAGTTTTTAGGATGGCCATCTCTGCTTCTTTATTGCAAAATTGGGTAGTATTCACCATCATGTTTTGCGCCATAGCCATCATTTCATGGTGAAAATTGTTAAGTCTTCCATGTATCTCGGTTATTGAACTTTGAAGGCCGTGTAACCTTTTGTTGCAATTTTCTGCCAATTTATCAACTTTGTTATTAATGGTAGATAAAAGTTGATTTTGCGCGAGAGCGTTCTCAGTTTGCCAGTTGAGAACTTTCTCTGCTTAATTCAGCTGATCAGGACCGGAAGAGTTGACGGCCTGAGAGAGAATCTTTGGTAAATGAGCGACATTGTTTTTGGTGAAGTCTTCTCTTGGGGGGAAATTATCTGGATCTATTATCATGAGTTGTTTTGGCTCTTCTTTCCTTTCAGAGTATTGGACGATAAATTCGTATTTATCATCGCCTAGTGGACCGACTGTGGGATCTCCTTCGAGGTATCTTTTGTAGAGAGTCTTCATTCTTCGCTTTGTTCGGTCGTCTTCATCGGATTCGTAATATGCTTCTTCGCAGGCTGGAAAGTTGCAAACGTCAAAGAATATGTGGCCAGTTTCTTCGTCTTTGAATGGGTAGATTTCATTGCCGTCTGGTTTAAAGTATAACGGTTTAGGATTATGTGGTCTTCTACCAATTTCGCCGTTTCTTTTGTCTATTTGTATTGCAAATTGAGTGAACAATTGCTTTCGGAATGATGACGATCTTGGGTTTTCGAATTTGATTTTTGTCGTTCCATCGTTCCGTGATTGGAAAGTGACATCCGATGATTGGATATTAGCTTGTGTGGCTTGATGAAACTTTTCATAACTTGTTACCCATGATTCCGGTAGCTGGCGTATTAACTCTTCACGCATTATTTGACGAGGAATTTGTATTGAGTTGGGCGCTTGAGATGCTGATGTGACTTTGAGGTAGAGTGCTTCATCAGAGGAGGGTAGAACGAGGTCAAGAGCGTGTATTTGAATTCGGTAGACAATTTGATGATGCATCATTGCTATCACACTTTTTTCTTGCATCGGTGCTCCAAATAGTTGAAGTTGAACTTTGAGAGTCTTC